AAAGTTGGCCTACCAAATCTGTGCTGCAAAAATCCACATGATCATGCTGTGACAGGGGAAAAAAAAATAATTTTCTGTATCTCTTTGGTGCCATTTCATAGTGATCTGAATTTCTGCAGTACAGATTATGAAAGAAAATGAAAATATATTTTAAAATTATAGTTACTAAATATTTTTATTTTTCAAAAAAACTCCCAATCTTTAAACTTAAACCTTTAAGTAAAAGTGCAAACTAAAAATATAAGAATATAAGATATTCTTAAATATAAGAAGCAACTGAAATAAAATCTTATATTTTTTACTTATCAACAGTCATTGGTTTACCAATGAATTCGCTACTATAATATGAACAAGACATGAAATTATTGTAAGGTAATACAGAATCTCTGCCATAATAACTCACATTGCTGCAACCTTTGATAGATAGAAAGTATTGCCTCTTCCAGAAAAGGTGGACATTTTTCACAACCATTCTCTGAATGTCTGGAATAATATCACTTTTCCAATTAGAGAAAAATAGTACATTAGCATATTTATGGGGAAATCTTTAAATGTTTAAGCCATACTGTAATTTTGAATTATGTATCAAAGGTGTGACTATTTATCAGGAACTGTGGATATATATTGTGGCATTTGACTGTTCACCAAGTATTGAATTGTATAGGGACCAGTGGTCGGTTTCAAAATTTTTTACTACCAGTTCTGTGGGTGTGGATTGGTGGGTGTGGCATGGCTTAGTGGGTGTGGCAGGGGAAAGATACTGTAAAATCTCCATTCCTACCCCACTCTAGGAGAAGGTTACTACAAAATCCCCATTTCCTCCCGATCAGCTGGGATTTGGGAGCAGAGAATAGATGGGGGCTGGGCCAGTCAGAATTTTTATTACCGGTTCTCCGAATTACTCAATATTTCTACTACCGGTTTTCCAGAATTGGTCAGAACCTGCTGAAACCCACCTCTGACAGGGACCTTTGTACACACACACACACACACACACCGATACACATGTGGCTCTGATTCACCATTCAGGACTACTAATAACCTTCAGAGCTATAAAGATTACTTACCCTTGGAGTAAAGGAAAAGAACATGATAAATTAAAATAAAAATCCTCTATTAATAAAATAAAATAAAAATCCTCTATGCTCTAACGCAATTAACTAGACTTCAGTTGTTTTCTATAATTAATTCAGATTTAGATTCAAGAAGGCAAAAGAACATCAGGGGGAAAAAAACCATTAATCTGAAGTGAGGTATAAAACACAGAAAAAACCTTAGCAATGAATTTTATAGATCTTATTCATTCAATTCAAGAGGTTGTCTTTAAAAAAAAAGCTGATTTTCAATATTACTTAGAAAATATCATAGGCAGCATAAATGAAAGAATTCTCCTTCACCTCTATTTCTGGATTGTTATATTTCTCCCTTTTGGTTAGGCTCATTAAAATGCACAACCTACAAAAATAAAAACATTTCCACCTGCAGAAAAATAACTTTCTTTCAAACACTTGACATTCAGATGCTAGTTGACAAAAATACTGCAGGAAATAACCTATTGTTCAGCAGAAAGCAGAGAAATAGTCATTTTAAGTAGTTTTTCTGTTTTCAGTAATGATTCTGAAATCATCATGCTCATTTAGTTGCCCAACACGTTGTCTATTCTAAAACCTATGTCCTCCTATGAAGAGAAGCATCCCTTCTCTTCAGGCCTTGAGGAGCTACCTGAAGCCTCAAAAAGCTGAAGGCTCAGTTGAGGTGCCTTTAAATGGATTGTATCTTCTACTCAGTTGATGTTCCAAAGGCTCGACACAGGCAAGCTGTGCTAAAGGACCTCAGCTGAAGCAAAGCAGCCAGACATGATGGAATTACATGCTTCAATGAGTTAATTATAAGCATCAAGATAGATGCCTTTTTCAAGTCAAAATGTTGCCACAAATTGTATAACTCCTTCAAGAGAAGTGAAAGTAGTTCTGCTGCTTCATAAGGCTTCAGTTTTCTGCTTCATTCTACCCCAAAATTATTTGAATCAAGGCTTGCTGAACATCCCATAATGTTCATCCCAATTAGTTGGTACATATTGGCTTCCAAAATTACTGGATACAATCGCCAGAATATATGGCATAAAATTGCAAATTAAAATGTTACAGAAAAGGGAATCATTGAATAAATAGGCAATTGTAATATTAATTGCATTGACTTAAATTATTTTAAATTAAATATAAATCAAAACAGATTAAATTTAGCTTAACTTTACCTTCTATCTCAAAAATGCCCCAGTGCATTTATAAATATATTAGAAGTTGTTCTCCATATAAATACTTGGCACTGTCATCCAGAACCTTTTCTGCATATTTCATAGCATTTAGAAATAATTATAAGTCTTTTATTGTAATGAAAGCTGACTACTTTTTGATTCTGATGTAATTAATTGTCACTTCAGATAAATCCTTGACAAAAATATGCCAATAAATATTTATGTCATGCTTGCCATTTGCTTTGTTTGGTACCATATGTTTGTTAAGAATTAGCAGGATACTTGTTGTTTATACCTGAAATCATTCTGGCCACACTGAGATTTTTGACCCAAAAGGTAGAACAGGAAATAGTGAATTAAACTCTCCATGGGATTCTGTTTCAAAAAGTTCATAGAGATACCATGTTGATTGTAAAAATAATGCCTACATATCCCCACTGAAGTACCCAGCAATCAAATGGCCTGCTGGATACTACTACTTATAGCTTTACTTAATACCCAGTTATTATAGTATCACTCAAAACTGGACCACCACTAAAATAAAGTTATTTTTATTTTTAGTGATACTTATATGGGTTTGAGATTTTTAAAACTGAGATTTTTTTTAAGTGTCAAAATATTTTCTGATGATAAATTGATACATCTGGTAGAATTTTCTAGAATTTCTAGGAAAAAAAATCCATTATATAGATACTATCTCCTTCTAAAGATGCTATTTTAGCTGCTGCAAAGGCATGTTCTTTAACAAGCAAAATGACATACTGTATGGGCAGAAGTCAACTCTTTTTGTCTTCATAATTTTATTAAAACTGAGTAATGATTTATCTATAAATCATTAAGGATTTAAGGACCTTGGTGGCACAGCAGACTAAAGCACTGTTAAGTAATACCAGCAGCCTGCAATTACTGCAAGTTCAAATCTCACCAGGCTCAAGATTGACTCAGCCTTCCATCCTTTCGAGATAGGTAAAATGAGGACCCGGTTTGTGGGGGCAATAAGTTGACTTTGTATAAAAAAGAATACCACTTGGGGTGGGGGGGCAAAAGCCCTACTAAGCAGGTATATACAAAAGTATGAAAGCTATTGCTTAACGCATTGTAAGCCGCCCTGAGTCTCCAGAAAAGGACAGCATATAAATCGAACCAACCAACCAACCAACCAAACAAACAAACAAACAAATAAATAAATAAATATAAGCAGGAACCACACTCAAAAGTGAGCAAGATAAAGAGAGAAAATAGATAGTCTATTGGCTGCAAAGTGATTGGGGTGAAAGAACAATCTATATTTCTTGCATAAATAAACTTGGAATTTATTTTTAATGGTGTACAATATATAAAATAAAAAGTTGACCATGAACAGGATCAGTTTAGACCAATTATCATTTTTCACCCCAAATTCGCACATAGGGTTGTTGTGATAGCACAATAAGGAAGGAAACCCTAGTGTATTATCTTGAGCCCCCAGAAGAAAAATATCAAGAATAAATAAAATAAGGAAATTATATACTCATTCCATAAGTACATACATCTATGCTATGTACTATAGCATAAGGTTGGAACAATCAAATAGGGAAGTTTTACATAAGTTAATTATCCTGACTTCCCCTTTTAGGCTGCAAATAATTAACAGAGAGGCATAAAGCAGATGGACCAGTACTGTGATCAAATGGCAGCAATGGACATGTGCAAAGCTGAAGCAGAGAACATTTATCTTGGAAGTAATCCTTATTATTAACTATCATTAGGACCATATGAATCTAATCTTTTAAACCAAAGCATTAGCCTTCTGTTTGTAAAACATGAATCCCTAAGAAACTATCCTCAAAAAATAGCCATGGGTTTCTTATTGCTATAGCACTAACCTCCTGAAACTATCTTTTCTTTTTCCTTGGTGAAATGTAATTAAGGTGTTTCAAAATTGAGCACTAAGCAGCAGATTAATACTAAAAATATGCCTTTACTAATAATAACTTAGGTTTCAGATGGAGGGAGAGGATATAGCCAAAAGATGCAAAGCTACGTTTTTAAAAATCTTGACAAGAATGGCAAGAAATAATGGGAAACTCTGCGATTCAGAGTTTTTGTAAGAACAGAATTAATAAATGTAATATTTCAGTTAAAATTCACACTCTATTCCTTAATTAAAAGAGACTGCAAAAAGCATTTATAAATTTGCTTACCAATCTCCCAAACCAAAAGTCCTCTTCTCATCTGATCTGTTTTTGTTTCTATACTTTGTATTTTAAGGGCCCTCTTTATTTCTCATGGCAAGCAGTTCCATCTATCTTTAAATATGCCTCTTAGTCACACCTGTTATGCATGTCTTCATAGTATCAACTAAAAGACCTTTTCTTGAAATTTTGGTTAGTTCTATATTTGTGATTCTTTATTTTCTTGTTCCCATCCTAATAGAAACCATGCCTCATTTCTATGAACATAAATTAAAATATTAAATGAAATGATAGTAATTGTTTGTCTTATCTTCTTTGGCATCCTTCAAATCCCATTTTATCCCTATCCTAAGAGGGAAAAACAAATAGAAAACTGCCAGATCATAGATAATTCCAACAACAACAAAAAACATAATTTTATGATAGAATAACTTACTTTCAGTTCAGTTCAGTAATAATTGGATTTTGCCATTAGGCATTACTTTTCCTTAACTGATTTATGTGCAATTTCATTGTGACAAATGCTCTTTCACAGCTAGGACTGTACATATTCTCCTCTACAAAGGACTTACAGAGGTGCAATTCTTGTCCATCTTGTCTTCCATGATGCCAATTCGACATGGTGTCTTCTGATTTTGGAGCCAATAATCTGTTGAGTCTAGCAAACTGTTACTGCAAAGTACCTGTTGAAACAGAAACAGTTCATAGTCCTTCGCAAAATGAAATCATGAGCCTAAATACAACATTACACAGAATAATAGAATTGGAAGAGTCTTCTAGTTCAACCCTTTGCTCAAGTAGGAAATCTTATGTCATTCTAGACAAATGGCTGTTCAATTTCTTCTTAAAAACCTTCAGCTACAACTTTTGGAGGCAAGATATTCCACTAATTGTTCTCGCTGTAAGGAAAGTTTTCCTTATTTCCAAGCTGCATTGGTTATCTACAGGAGGTTCTCAAAATAATTTTATTTTCATCCTTGCCATTTAAAGGTGCTACAATAAATCAACTACAGTAAATTTTTTAAAAAACCAGTTAAATAAATTATTTAATACAGGAGAGGTCAATAGGTAGTATGCACATGTGTTGTGGTTATTTTATCTACAGTTTACATCAGGGGTGTCAAATTGGTGGCCCATGCCTGGATATGTCATGTGCAGGCCACACCCACCCCAGTTCCGCGAATGGGGGAAATGTGAAATGTCACGTGAATGCAACACGACACGGTGAGTTTGACACTCGGGGTTTACATCTAGGCAGGGAAAATTAAATATGGTTTATTCTATTATGTTAGAATCATTCTCATTTCATAATCTGTAATCTGTTGTTAAAATTTAATTACTCATTTTAATGTAAATGCAATAGAAAGCCCTAAAGTAATCCAAATATAAACTACGAAACTAAAGGGCCTAATAATTAATTTATGGCTTAATAAAATCATTGTCAATTATCTGGCCTGGATTAAAAATAAAATCTTTTCCCCAACTTCTTTATCACAATCTCGGAGGAGGTTCTAACTCATCTTTAACCACAGTCAATGAAGAAAATCTTGTATTCATAAACTCCAAACTCTTTTCATGCTTTGACATTCTTAGTATTGGAGTCTCTATGCATCTGAAGGGCTGGTGGTTGATGAACGATGCCTTAAAGCAAAACCTTTTCCAATTATTGGAATGCCACTAAATAATCTTTTAAAAATGCAGCCTGGCATATTGCTTACTTTCTTATGAAAAAGACATTACTGCTTTATATAAAAATGCTTTCGTCTCCTTTCATCGAGAGGCCTTATTTTTCAAAAGCTAATGCTAGTTGGAAATTATAAATAGGCACACTACACCGGTTTGCAAATAAAATCTTGTAATAAAATGTGTTTATGATTCCAAATGATGAAAAGGGAAGTGCCCAGTAGTCCCCATTTCAACAAGATGCAAACTGCCATCACCAAAACTATGCATCATAGAAGTACATTAAAGCGACTAGAAAGAAAGAAAAAAATTCTGATGAAAAACGAACTACAACTGTTCTATAATAACTATAAACTGGTGAAAAATGAATATTTATGTAAGGCATGCAGACTAAACTACAAGATAATACTTTTTTCTCCCTTTAGGGGCTATGCCAGTTAATGGGCCAGAAAGTTTAAAACCACATTTACAGCTCCTACATAAATTCCAAGTAATATGTACAATATAGCAGCTCGTAGTACAGAACTATTATTATTTTAATATTATCATTATTAAGGCTATATATAACTGGGCTGCAAAACTTCAGATTATTACCAGATAGCAATAAAAAGACCTTAAATGCTTTAATTATTTTTCAGAAAAGACAAAATGATTACTGTTCCAGATTTTCATTGACTGTTATGGCCATTAGGTTTGTGGGAATAGGGACTTTCTGGAAAAAAAACACACCGTTTAAGGCAGGGCTGTCAAACTGCCAGCCCATGGGCTGAATGCATCACGCGTTGGCCACACCCATGCCTAGTTTAGCAAAGGGGGGAAAAGTCCTGATACGTCACGTGACACCACCATGACGACGTGAGTTTGACATCCCTGTGATAGGCAGGGGTGCCAGATCTGGCATACAGAAATCTGGATGAGCATTAGATGGCAGGAAAGAGATATTAAAACTTCTATTCTATGGTAGTTTATTCAGAAACTCATTGATTTTTTTAAATGTGCCATTATACTGTCTGCCTGCCAAAAAGATGTAGGATGACTGGACATAAATTAAAAAATTCTGGATCTATAACAAAAAATTACACTATGGATTATTCCTTATTGGATTCCAGAGAGCTGTATTACTCCCACTGCATTCCATTCCTCATTTTATTCTGTTTTTTTCCTCCCAAATATCAGTCTGAGTTCTATGCCAAAAAAGCAAAATCTATCGGCTCCTTTTGGGGCTACTTTAAGTGTAAAACTCTGTAAAATTCTTGATGACTCCAGAATATTTCTAATTTTTCTACTGCTGGGGCATAAATAACATCATCTTGGAGACTCAGGGAATCTATAATATAGAAGAGTACTTCATATTTTCAATCAGAAATTGAATAGCATGAGATAAATTGACTAGGAAGGCCTTCTGAAAATACCAGTTTATTAACTAATGAAATCAAGTAGTCAGTGGCAATGCAAAATCTAAAACTGATTTAGAACAGTTGATCAAGAGCAAATTAAATGCATATCTATATTTAGAGACACAGGTATACATGTATTTGCTGAAATATGTTTTCTAATTTTATCTAATGTAGAACTTTACCTAAGAGCCCACCTTTTTTTTAACCTAAAAACAATTTCTTCTTCTAAAACAACTTTGTGAGAATTCAGATAATTATATCTGATTCAGTAATTGTAGATATAATCAAGCCTTTGGTTGTACAAATAATACTTTCATTGCCCCTGGTTCCAATGGAAACATATACAGTTCAACAGGAAGTTTTAAAATAAATGATAGCTTCCTATTTTGTTCAAACTGATACTTTTTCAGAACTACTACATTTAATTGTGGTTAAGAACCTAGCTTGTTGCAGCATTCTCAATTTCACTTGGAGTTTCTTGGTTTGTAAAAAGAAGGAATTGCTATTAATTGAATGCTTCTGAAAATGCTTGTTCAATTTGGTAAGTAGGATCATAACTTGTCAACATTTATTTTTAAGGTGTAAAACGCTATTCTCCACGTTGATGACCTATAGGCAGTTTCTTTTCCAGTGTTTGCTGGAAACTTTGGGAGTTGAATATAAATATCAGAGGGGAACAGTTCCAGGATCAGTTAAGGAATAGCAGATAATGTTATGCATGATCACTCTGAAATGTACTGAAAGCACCATCATTGAATTTTAGGGAAGTCAGACTCTCCATAAATCTATATGTCTTAATTTAGATAAATGAAGTTTCTTTAAAACAAGCATTCACATAGAAGAAATAAGGAAAACAAAAGCGGTTAGTTATTCATACACGGAAATGAAATGTTGCTAATAACTAGCTGACGGTGTAGTAGGAAAGGAAAAAAAATTAAGCTTCATTATAATATAATAGCTTCTGGTGAGAATAACAGGATTTATTTCTAAAGATCCTTAGGTAACTTTTCATATTATTAAAATATGCTATTTTTTATCTGACAAATTATCATACAGAATTAAAAAGAAAAAAAAATCACGGAGATGAACAGAGACATGGAAATAAGTTCATATGGATTTATTTTAAATCTGCAGGTACAAAACTGAAGCCTAGGTAGATTTTCCTTCCCTTTGTATGAAATTTTCAGTGATGCATATCTTCATAATACATGTAACAGTAATTTTAAAAGCATGGTTCATCATATTATACTAATAATTAGGACAACACATCTCACACATTCATTGCTTTGCTGTAAGAATGGAATGATAAAGCAGTCATATTGATGCTGCCTAAGATTATAAAGTGGACGTGGTGGCTCAGTGGCTAAGATGCTGAGCTTGTTGATCGAAAGGTCGGCAGTTCAGTAGTTCGAATCCCTAGTGCCGCATAACAGGGTGAGCTCCTGTTACTTGTCCCAGTTTCTGCCAACCTATCAGTTCAAAAGCAGATAAAAAATGCAAGTAGAAAAATAGGGACAACTTTTGGTGGGAAGTTCCGCGCGCCTTTGGTGTTTAGTCATGCCGGCCACATGACCACAGAGACGTCTTCGGACAGCGCTGGCTCTTCGGCTTTGAGACAGAGATGAGAATCGCTCCCTAGAGTCGGGAACAACTAGCACATATGTGCGAGGGGAAACTTTACCTTTTTAAGATTATAAAGCTTTAAAATATGTACTAAGAAAAAAAAATCAAAAGTGGGTCAGAATAACAGAACAGAATAACAGATTTGGAAGGGACCTTGGAGGTCTTCTAATCCAACTCCCTGCTTAGGCAGGTCAACCCATTTTTTTCTTAACCTTTTTATAAACTTCTATAATATTGGTTTCTTAAATAAAATAGAGTGATCTAAAATTATTCCCCAAAGAGGAATGACAGGATTGAAGTTCTGGATCTGACTAGGCCAGCTTTTGAAAAGCTTTGAGTTGAAAGAATCTTAACTCCTTGAGCCCTTTCTATCATGTCAAACAGCCAAACAGTCACAAGTCTATGGTGTAGGGAGGAAATAAGGTTTCAAAACCACTACTGTATGTCAGTGTAGTATAGTGGTTAGGGTGTTGGACTAGCACCAGGGAGGCTGAGGTACATGTCTACTCTTAGTAATTGAAACTTATTCAGCAACTTCGGGTGAATTTGCCGTTGTGTGCATACATTAGATCCCATGTCTTGAAACTTTGAGGAAAAGTAGACTATAAATCTAACAAACAACAGAATAGGACGTAACAGCAGGAAACATTGCTGTTCTTTCAGGATGCTATGTATATTCTCTGTGCAAATTATTAATGAGTTAATTTGAAATGCCAGCTTGTTTAGATGTTATACAAAAGTACTATATCTTGAATATGTTCTGTAGGTTTTTCTTGATCACATGACCACCCAGCTCCATCATGTTCTGAAAGGTCTTGATAATGAAGTATTTTTCAAAAGAAGCCATTGTGTTAGACCAACTATTTTGCAATACAATAATCCAGATAAAGTATCTTTTTTCAGACCAAACAATTTAATTCTTCCCTATTTTAACAACTTCAATCATTGCAACATTTTAATTAAATCATCAAAACCTGAGCTGTTTTCACTCAAACTAGCTTATCATCTAAGAAGCATTTGCTTTCATTTTTCTTGTTCTCACAATATAATTTTTAACATGAGAGAAGTTAAAACTTCTCTTTGCTGGGTGGTTGTATTTTAATTTAGTTTACATGTCAAATAAAGTTATATCAGGTTTATTATTTTTCTGGGTCCATCCCTGGCTATTCTGTGATGTACCCTTTGATCCCAATCTAATATATGATGTATTTGGGGACTAATATGATCCCCAAAACACCCAAGGTCAACTTGAACTAAAAAAAAATATGTGATTAAAATACAATTTTTTCATCTTCTCAGCAAACCTACAAATAAGTATGTCATATTCCACATATAGGAAGCTGAAACTTCATGATTGTTCGGCGACAATAAAATAAAATAAGATAAAAATGAATGCCTTAATTCTAATTGAATAGAAATTTCCATATAGTCTAATCTGTTCCTATTATGGCCTATATTGTCAATTGTAAATCACAGAACTGAAACACTGTCTAATAGTGCACAGACTATAAATTCAGAACAACCACTTCATTCTTTAAGATAGTTATATGACTAATAAAGTTAATGTATAATTCGATACATCCCTATAGAGATTCTCTTCACACATGAGATAACAGCTTATTCTTGCCTGATCATCTTAACTGCAGTGCTTAATTACAGCTCATCAAAAAGAGATGGCAAAGAATGTGCAAAACAAGATGAGACTTTGGGAGTTCATTCCACATGGATTTTCTAAAATGGAGTCAGTGAAATAATATTTGGCATCTCATATGCTATGAGTTTTTGTTCATGCCAGGCATAACTGAACAAACATAAAGCAAATTGAAGGGAATGCTTACGTTATTCTTCTTGTGTCAGCCCACTGCAAACAATAAAGTTTCATTTTAAAAAATCAATTATGTTAACATAATGTGTGAGATCAGGAGATGGACTGTGATGGTTTATGACCAGGACTCAGTGATGTTTTCCATATTATCTCATTTTATAATAAGTGTTGTGAATTATTTCAGATTATTGTCAAAATGGAAGTGAATGATAATTTGGTGGAATAAAATATGCTTTACAAATTGCACAGAAAGTAAAAAATCTGCAGTAAAAACCTAGGCCAAGAGTTAGGATTATTTTGCCCTGACAGCCAAGTATGATGAGAGATTGTGCCAGGTCTACATAACTATGACAGTGTGGTATAGACAACTTCCCCCTCTATTATCTTTTAAGGATCCATATATACCTTGCAAAGAGAGATATCTTCTTTCAGTCTCTCACCATCCTTTTCTCTAGTTTAATATTTTATTTATACTCCCCACATACTCAAATCATGTGCCATGTACTCAAGTACCAGGCAATGGGAGAAATTAAAATAAAAACAATGTCCAGAAATGCTTCTCCCTATGTGTCTTTGGTTGCAGCAGTACTGCATTCTGATGAATTTAAAAAAAAAAACCAACCCTGAGAATCAGTTCTGTGATTTCTGCTGACCACAAATCTAGATTTGATAGGAATTTGAAGGCATTTGCAATGTTCTAAAACCAAGTATTGTCATTGGGCAAAATTTTGCTTACTTAGGATGTCTCCATAGTGTTGAGGGTAAAATTGCAAAGTGGTACAACGGACCAGACAATGAATAGATACGTTGCTTAGCAAAACACACAGATACTCACAGACTCTGAACGTTTAAAGAAAAATAAACAGTCTTTACTTGTAGTAAAAAACAAACTTGGCTTCTCAAAACAAAGATAACACTTCTTCAAATAATCACGGTTGAACACAAAAATATAGTTTGCTTACAATTCCAGTTCTCTTCAGTAACACAGACAAAGTTCCTTTCAGCAGTTCAACCTTCTAATAGCAGGAGTAGAAGTGAATGAACTTCCTGCCTTCTTTTATGTCTGCTTAGCACAGCCAATTAGTCATCTTTGTAGCAGTTAAAGTTACAGAACATAGTTTTCTATATATTACCTACCCAACCATAGGATAAGCATCCAACACATAGTAAAATAGGAAATATTACATAACAGCATAAACAAGAATCTTAGCTATTTCTCTTTTTGCAAGATATCTATGGATCCTTAAAAGATAATACATCCATTTTTTTCAGGGATAGTCAAAGGTCCATTTTGGAAAGCTTCATAAATTTCTTCAGAATCCTGGAGTAATCATTAAGAAGCAAATGTATTACTGTTCATCTTTCAATTGTTTTTAATTGGTTTCTCCTACTAGTATAAGCAACAGAAGAAATTAAGACTCTTTATCTATGATTTTCTGATTATTCTATTCAAATCAGGATCCCTCTCAAAACATAAGTAAGCCAGGGATCTCGCTTTGATAAAAGTGTTAACCATTATGGTCATAGGTGCGTGTCAAGTTGATTAGCTTTTCTTGTTGTGGGCAAAATATACCCAAACATGAACCTTGATCAATCAAAGTGATAATAAAAATTGAACTTGGATATTCAGTATTTGTTACTTCTCAGTTTAATATTAATGTTTAAGAAAATTATATATATGTAAGAATTGCCTTTTTAGACATAAGTAGAGCTAGAACCTGGGACCTGGGAAATCCAAGTTGGATTCCTTCTTGAAAAGATTTTGCAGTCACTTTTAAAACTGACTGCCATATCAGTCATTGTGTAAAAGGAACACATTATCATATAATCCTTTGCATGCAATTTTAGTACTTGATGCATTTAGATCTGAACTGGAATATTCCATCCCATTATTTTAAAAAAAATTAAAATAATGAATAATATTTTTCTTCTTTTAATATTTGGCAGTGATTCCTGGATAGATGAACCCTGTGCCCACACCTAAGTCTTTCTGGGATAAATTGTGGTCCTGATTTCATTTTGGTCAGTTTGATTTCATATTTTCTCAATCAAATAACATTCAAAACTCACTTCTTAATACTATATTTGGATCCAACTCTTTCTGTCCTTCCTTATTTTCATTCCATAATTCCAGTAGTGTGAGATTTGTACCCATTGTTCCAAGCCTTGTGTTTAAGGCACATTATTATAAGCCACAGTTTTTATAAGCTAAAAACTATCATACTGTATAATCAGGTTTGTCCATAAAAACTGAACAAGTATGTTTTTAGAATATGTAACTATTTTTCAGCAAATGATTGGTCAATTGATTGCTTCCAGATATTAATATTTTTCATTGTTTACCTTGTGTGCATTTCAATTATTGAAATAATGGGTAAAAAGCATAGCTGAATTGCTGACTAAAACAATTTCAAAAAAGAATTACCTTCTTACATGCCTTGACCGAACTTCTGACACTATTATCCGTGCCACCGTGGTGCGAAATTTCGTACATCAAGGGACATTCAAAGTTGCTGAAGAGAGAATTGGGGGGGGGATCAGTGACATTGGTACAAATGAATTAAACATTATTTCATAATCCTTCATATCTCTTCCCCTTCTTGCAGTTTTCCTTGGCTCAAAGCATCATATTATTTGTTATGGGATTAGCTATTTATTATAACTTTTTCAGTATTGGAGCCCTGTTCTGAAATAGTGGCCTGATTGCCTTTAAAAAAAACACAGAATACAGAACTATATTGGATATAGCATCTGTCCACCTTCAACAATACAATAAAATATTCTCTTCTGTATCAAAGAAGCAATTTGAGACTTCCAAATTATATAGTGGTTACATCCATTCACTATGCCAGCAGGCAAGAAATTGCACACTAAATCTTATACTAAGTCGTCTGTTTCATACCCAAGGAAAGAGGTAAATTATAGCTTTTCAAGGCAAAGAATACAATGGGGTTGATTAAATTTAGGAAGCAAAGCAGGCCATTTCTATCAGCACTGACATGGAACAGTTAATCGGTTTTTGAAGAATGGGGTTCAAAGAAATTATCTGAGAATTTTATCAGACAATTCATCATCAGACAAAGCTCATACCAGTCTTAAGTGCTACTGTTACTGAATTAGTGTAATGGGAAGTCATGAGGCAAAGACCTTTACATAAATTCAGCTTTGACACAAGGACTGACTCTTATGGCTGTATAAAAGTACTAAGAATTGCCATCCAGATCACCAAAAGAGAAAGAATGTTTTCTTCTAGTCAGAAGGCAGGACTTTTATCTTTCTTACTGTCTTGTCAAAGAAATATCTTCCATTAGGTCCATTATGACTATGTACATATAAAATAGCGCTCCTGGATATTTTGCTGTAACAACACTTGTAATAGTCCAAATCCTCAAACAAACATGGAACCAGAACAGAATATGATAGCATAACTTAGTTCATATCTTAAACCTTCTTGAATTCTCTCTTAAGGAAGTCCCACGCTTAGATGGTGGTATCTGTCAGGACATTTTCTAAGTATCACAGTGGTAAGACTAACTGTCATTCTCAGTCATTACAGAAAGAGCTGATAGGAGCATAAAAAGTTCACTAGAATCTCCTTTTTAGTTGCTCCTGTCCAGTTTCCAGGCCAAGATCTCCCTCTGATGACTATTTGATTGAATCTGGGTATGTCCTGATGATTTACGTGGACTTTGTTGTAACACTGTGAGGTCACATAATTTGCTCATACCTGATCTTTCAAGGCCAGTGATGTGTCTTAACTCCAGCTGATCGAACAGCAGTGCTGACTCACAATGAAACCCTGCGCTAATGTGTTTTGGAAATATTTTCATCAATTTGGCTAGTTGGCATTTATGGTAGTCAGATTTCTGACTAGCTTTTTAACTGACATTTCTGATGCCAGGTTAGTTGGGACCAATCATGAGTGCAAAGAGTGGATTCCCATTCTTGGCATTATTACAAACAAGACAAATCTGATAGTAATCTGATACTGAAGCAAAAAAAAAGCCATCAGCATAGCAATCTGGAGTGGAAATGGATCCACTGGACAGAGTCTTTCTGGACAGAGTCTTTCTGGACAGAGTCCAGTGCTGTAATCCTATAATATATAAAGCTAATTTCATAAAGACTCTTCCTTTTAAAGCTAGTAATAATTCCACATTCCTTCTGAAGTTTGAGGTACATTTCTAGGACCTGAAACCTCTATCATTGTCAATGCTCATGTGCAAAATATGGAATTAGCATACTGTTTGATATATTCATTACAAAGTCATGACAGTGAAATATTAGGTTAAGGCTATTTCCCAGAAAATCGGGGAAATTCTGATAAATTTGTCAGGTAGCCATAAATATGGAAACCCTGTGGCTCACAAAAGCCATTATCATTTTAGTAATATTCTAGATGCTATACACAACTATATATACTATGACATACATATAGACTACTGCAGCACACTTTACATGGGGTTCTTTTTAAGGACCACCTGAAAGTTTCAGTTGGTTCAAAACCAGTAGCTCAGGTCTTCATGGATATTTGCCAGTGGACATACATTATTTCTGTTTTGCAGGCTGTACACAGGTTGTCAATTGGATTCAGGTACAGTTTAAAGTATTGGTTTTAACCTATAAAGCTCTTTATTACTTAGAATAGAATAGAATAACAGAGTTGGAAGGGACCTTGGAGGTCTTCTAGTCCAACCCCCTGCCCAGGCAGGAAACCCTACACCACTTCGGACAAATGGTTATCCAACATCTTCTTAAAAATTTCCAGTATTGGGATATTCACAACTTCTGCAGGCAAGTTGTTCCACTGATTAATTGTTCTAAGTGTCAGGAAATTTCTCCTTAGTTCTAAATTGCTTCTCTCCTTGATTAGTTTCCACCCATTGCTTCTTGTTCTACCCTCAGGTACTTTGAAGAATAGTTTGATTCCCTCTTTTTTTTTAAAAAAAAATTGATTTATATGCCGCCCTTCTCCGGAGACTCAGGGCGGCTTACAGTGCGTTAAACAATAGCCTCCATACTTTTGTATATTTTATACAAAGTCAGCTTATTGCCCCCACAAACTGGGTCCTCAATTTACCTACCTTAGAAAGGATGGAAGGCTGAGTCAACCTTGAGCCTGGCAAGATTCGAACTTACTTTAATTGCAGACAGCTGGTGTTAAATTACAGTGCCTTGTCTGCAAAGCTATCCAGGCTCCTCTTCTTTGTGGCAACCCCTGAGATACTGGAACACTGCTATCATGTCTCCCCTAGTCCTTCTCTTCATCAAATTAGACATACCCAGTTCCTGCAACCGTTCTTCATATGTTTTAGGCTCCAGTCCCCTAATCATCTTTGTTGCTCTTCTCTGTACTCTTTCTAGAGTCTCAACATCTTTTTTACATCATGGTGACCAAAACTGAATGCAATATTCCAAGTAAAATAAAAATAAATAACAAAATAAATAAATAAACTTTATTGTCATTGTATGTGTATACACAGTATACACATACAACGAAATTTACTTGACACCCAAAGTGTGGCCTTACCAAGGCATTATAAAGTGGTATTAACACTTCACGTGATCTTGATTCTATCCCTCTGTTTATAAAATTAATTCTATTCAGATTCTTTACATTTGTCCAATCTATATGATTCCATTAATACACCTGTTTATATTAGAATATGTTCTTTCATCATTTTATTACTTGTTATTTCACTTTATTATTCCACCACAAATCATAATATTATTTAAACATAATAATATCATTATTCAATCTCTAATTTCCCCCTTTTTAATACTTAGTTCTTATTCATATTTCCCATATTTCCCTCTTTGAATCGATTTATATTAAAATACTATCCTTCATTGTTTTATTATTCAATGTTTCAATATACTATTCTAATGCCAATCATGATATTATTTAAACATACAAAATAACTCTATTCATATTCTTTGCTTTCATCCAATCTATATGGTTCTAGTATTAATACACATGTTTATATTAAAATATTGTCTTTTCGTTATTTAATTGCTCAGCGTTTACCAATCACAATGTTATTTAAGCTTACTTAATAATACCATCATTTAATCTCTAATTTTCCCATTTTATTATTACTTTTGTTTCATCATGTAAAGGAATATGTACAAGTAATTCCTCAATCTCTCATTGAACACATTCCTATCTGTTCTAATTTGTCCTCCTGTCACCATTATAAAAAAAAAAAGAAACAGGGGAAAAATATTTTTTTCTTTCTTCTTTTTCCTATCCGCCTTCTAGCCAACATCTCTGGCCCGCATCAATACTTTAATTCTTATTCTTTTTTTAACTTGCCTCCCATATTCTTCTCTTAAATCTTTATCTCTGTCTGTCTATGTGTCTACATCCTGCCTAGTCAATCTAAGTGTTTTTCCCATCCCTACTCTCTTCCACTGTCTAGCTTTGAAATTATCAGCCCGGACCCCTGTCTCCCTTCCCAAAGTATCTTCCTGCTCTTCCCGTTCTCTTTTCAGATCTCTTAGAATGTTTTACCCCTGATTTATTCATTAAACATTATTAATTTTATTGATGACTCCTCGTTATCTACTTTTTGTTGATTCCTCAATTCTGTTTTTCCCTCTATTCCTTCTGCTAACTCCTTCCTTTCCTGGGCATCTTGGTCATTACTCATTGTCCTTTGTATAATATTTTCCAATTTTTCATCTATGCCATCCATTAATTCCATAATCATGTTATGTTCTTTCTGTATAATATCCTTTATGCTTTGAAACATCAAGTCCATCTCATTCAAAGTTCAGCTTGTTTCCTCCTTATGTTGCATATTATCTTGTTTAATAAATTCCACTTTTGGCCACTAGCCGAAGAACCATTTGTTCACACATGAGGTTACTCTTCAAAGTATACACTAATCACAGTTCTTTATGTTTCATAAGTAGTCACTCGATTCCATTTACATAGTCCAGGGAGTTATCCAAGCCTCTTTAAGTCACCTTTATAGCTTCAGTCATATAACTTAACATTCAGGGTTCACTTTAATTAAATGTCTTCTTGTTCTCACATTTAAAACTCCAGTGGTCATAGGGTAGATGTATATTTTTTTTATATTTTTTTTATTTGATTTATATGCCGCCCTTCTCCGGAAACTCAGGGCAGCTTACAATGCGTTAAGCAATAGCCTTCATACTTTTGTATATTTATACAAAGTCAGCTTATTGCCCCCACAAACTGGGTCCTCATTTAACCTACCTTAGAAAGGATGGAAGGCTGAGTCAACCTTGAGCCTGGTAAGATTCGAACCTGCAGTAATTGCAGGCAGCTGTGTTAATAACAGGGTGCTTTAAACCACTGTACTACCAAGGCTCTTATAGTCCAGTAAATATTTTCACAGTTCTTTAAATGGTATTCCCAGGCTTGTATATTTTCTTTTCATCAGCAGGTGCCACTCTCAGGTTAATTTTCAATATTGTTACTAGAAATCTGATTTTAATTATTTTAAATTGTAATTTAATTATAGAAGCAATGTTATTTTTT